CTCTCTCTCGCTCTCTCTTTCTCTCCTTCTATATATATATATATGCACTTTTACACATGTAAACATATATATATATATACGAATATACAGACAAGGACTGGTAGCTTACGAGCCTTCTGAGCTGGTCCTTGCTGGCATATTCGTTTGGCCCCTTGCAGTGACATCTGAAACGCGCGTCATACAAATCATCTTACCGGGTGTTCATAGGGAATAAGGGAAGATTCTATATAAAGAGTATACAGATATGAGAATATATTCCCGCTACTAACCACCAGTAAGTCAACGTTATGGTCAGGTTCACATCCTTGTCTCCGTGATCTTGCAGAGCTTTTCGGAAGGAGGCGCAAAGATCACATGGTTTCGGGCTTGCATTTCCAAGAGGGTCCAAGTGTCCAGCAAATAAGTATTTGCGTTTTCGGTAATGGTGATAACAGTATAGGTTTTGGGCAAGTATTTGATTATCAGGTACTTGGACCATCAGGGCCTGGGAGCTTAGACAGCTAAGCGCCAATGAGCCAATTTATCTCCCTGCACGTGGACCTTCATGTTGGATGCGTAGATCAGGGCTTCCATGAACTAAAGACCCCTTGTAGGCGGGTTCCCAGAATCAGGATCACGGTATATTGGGATCTATGTTCCGGGCCCCCTGTTTATGGGGACAGCCGGATTGCCGGGTTTCATGATGACTGAGGAAAGAGCACGGATGGCTGCAATCCTCTTCATCTTCCTAAACCTAAACCGTAAACCTGCCAGACTTGTCTGCCAGAAGCTTTCTGCACCCTGGAATTCTTCCAATTCTCTGAAATGCCATAGTCTACCTAAATCCCAATACCCTATAGTTACACTGTTGGACTGCGCGACTGTTTCATGGTTGGCATACCGAGAAGACCAAACCCCAAACCCAAAACCGTAGCCGAAATCCCCAACCCGAACCCCGCAGATCGAAAGCCCAAACCCCTAGACGCCCAAATCCTAACCTCCTAAGCCCTAAGCCTGAAATCCCAACCCCTTAAACCCCAAACTCCCAAAGACCTTAAATCCTAATGGAGGCTGATGCCTGCCCTTTGGGCTTTGCTTGGGCAGCCCACCTCACCTGGACAAGTGCGAGAAGCGCAGCCGGGCGGCACAAAGGGTTTAGGGATTAGGGTTTAGGGTTTAGGGTTGGGATTGGGGTTCAGGATATGGTGTTTAAGGTTTGGAGTTTAGGGGTTGAGGGGTTTAGGCTTGGGGTTTAGGCTCTATTGGGGAAATTCAGAAAACCCTTTTTGCCGAGGGATCATGACATGGATCTCGTTGTACGACTTTGGGAGGTAGAAGCTACAGGCCAATGGTTTGTCTTCATCGATGCTTACGGTACACGCTTCCGTTTCATTCCAGGGGCTATGAAATGCGGAAGTCGTCATGGCACAGAAATGGCGGGGGGCTACCTGCAAAGTCACATGCCAAACCCTAAGCAGTTAAGAACTGTAGACCTTAAATCCGAACCTCTATAAGCCCCAACACCTGGACCTACACCCTATAGCCCCTGAACTCTAAACCCTAAACCCCAAACCTAAACTCTATCCCCAAACCTCAAGCCCTAAACCCCAAACCTCAAAGCCTAAAGCCCTAACATCAAATCCTAAACCCTAAGCCCCAAACGCTAAACCCTAAACCCCAAAGCCTAAACCCAAAGCCCCAAACCCTAAACCCCAAACCCTACACCCCAAACCTAAACATCAAACCCTAAACCCCAAACCCTATAGCCATTAAAGCCTCACCCCCGGAAAGGCATGGTCTCCTTGCTGTGGATGCTTCCTTGAATAGAGCGGCCACTGGTCCTATTTGGGTGTCTTCCAAAATTAAGGGTACCCTTTTGGGGTTGGAGCACTCTGAAACAGAGTTTTATAGGACATTTGTAGGGCATATGGAGGGGGATATGGAGGGTTTAGGTTACAGGGTTGAGGGTTCAGGGTTTAGGGTTTCCCACCATTAAGGGTACCTCTTTGGGGTCCCTATAATCAGGACTATCGTTCTCAGTAAGGAATAAGGGAATATGTTACATAGGGGTTATGTGGGGAGTATCTTGCCTTATTCCCTACTAAGAAACAGTATGTAATTAGGTATCAGGCTTTTCTACAAGGTAGGTTCCTGAAATTACTGCCGCCTGATCTAATGCAACGTGTGTCCTTTAACCTACTGTTCACCTTTTCTCCCCGCTTTCCAGAGGCCATGCTACAGGGCAGTGACAATGAGGCTTCCTTGCGCGCTTGTGCATTGCGCCCTCGCGCTTGCCCAAAGCACAAAACCCCACTATCATCTTCTACATATCAGAACTAACCCCACACAACGTTATCCATCTACACTGCCGCAGTCCAATGTTTCTTTCTTCCCATATCACCCCCACACGCTCCTCCCAGTGATCATGAAGTCCCCACCAGAAAGCTCAGAAGTACCATTCCCGAAAGGTGCATTGCATTGCAGGAGCCGGAATAATCAGAACGTACTATGAGTCTTCCTAGATACCGCCATTTTCCTTCATAGAACTCCTAGGTAACGGCTGCGTGGATCCCCCAAAGCAACAGCAAGCGCCCGAGCCCTGCATCCTACACCTAAATCTACACTGCGCACTAATCCCTACCTGGACCTTCCGCATACCTACCCATATGAACAGCCTGTGTGCCCATGATTTTGAGGTTAGGGGGTATCATTATGGATACTTGGGGGGTCCGGGTACATCCTGAACGCTATGTAACCCAATGTAATTCCTCATGTAGCCCCTGTAAAGAGCGAGTGGTCTAGCCGGGGTCCAGACCCAAGTCGTAGACCCCACTTCCCAGTGATGTCCCAGATGGAACTGGTGCTGCGCTGCTCCTCCGCCTTAGCGGCCTTCTCGGAGGCCGTCCTTGCAGATTCTTGAGGGTTGCCCTAAACCCTATACCTAAGGTTGTGGGTTCGGGGTTTAGAGTGTACAGGGCAGGGCGCTCACTGGGGCTGCAAAAGCCTGGATATGTAGCAACATCATCCTTCGATGCTAGATTTGGTACGAGTGCCTTTTCAGTTACTACATGTACCCAAGAGGATCCCTAAGGGTCCAAGGACCCAAATAATGGGGGGTTTAGGGCCCCAATACCATTAATAGTATAGTATTTGGGCCCTAAAACCCTGTTATTTGGGTCCTTGGACCCTTAGGGTTACTACGTGTACCCAAGAGGATCAGTCCAGTTGTTCTGACCTTCATGACACTTGCGGGCCGCTGAAAACATCTCCCCAAACTCCCTATTTGGGAAACCAGGAACTCCTAAACCCCAAGCCCTAAACCCCAAACCCTACATCCTGAACCCCAAACCCTAAGCCCTAAACCCTAAAACTTGTACGGTTAGGCATGTGGCTCACAATTCTTCAGCTAGAGGCTAGAGCAGTTGTTCAGCCTTCTTTTCGGAATGCTTCGCATATGGCGGATGTCAGGGCAGGAGCTGCCCGAATTCAGCATGCAGGATATCTCGGATGTGTGGGATTTGAAGGCTGCTCTACGTAGCCTGCATGGCTTCCCGATTTGCATGCAACAGTTGCTGCGCAATGGCAACAGTTTAGACAATTCCGATAAGATAGGTGCCCCCGTGGACTTACAACTGGTACTCCTTGCCCTTTCCACCGAGGCGCAGCGGCAGGAGGCTGCAAAAGAGTTGATCCAAACTTGCATGCAAGGCGGTCTGGAGATCGCAAGGATGCTCCTAGAAGCTGGTGCCAACAAGGACGCTAAGGATCACGAGGGCAACACAGCCCTCATGCTCGCAGCTTGGCATGGCCACGCCAAGCTCGCGCGGCTGCTTTTGGAAGCTGGTGCTGACAAAGATATGCAGAATCGCTACGGCTACACAGCGCTCATGTGCGCAGCTGAGTCTGAGACGGGCCGTGCACGGATCACGCGGCTGCTTTTGGAAGCTGGTGCTGACACTGACGCGCGGTCTGGCAACGGCAAGACAGCCCTCATTCTCGCAGCTAACGTTGGCTACGTACGGATCACACGGCTGCTGTTGGAAGCTGGTGCTAACAAGGACGTGCGCGATCGACACGGCCACACAGCCCTTTCGCTCGCGGCTGAGAATGGCCACGTGGAGATCACACGGCTGGTTTCGGTTGCTGGTGCAGACAAAGACGTGCAGTCTTGCAACGGCAGCTGCAGCCCTGATAGTGGCAGCTGAGACGGGCAACCGCCACGTGAAGATGGCACAGCTTCTGTTGAAAGTTTGTACTTAGGGGGACGCGCAGTCTCGCAATGGCTATACAGCCCTGATGCTGGCAGCTGCGAACCGCCACGTGGAGATGGTGCGACTGCTGTTGGAAGCTGGTGCTGACAAGGAGGCGTCGTCTTGCTACGGCAACGCAGCACAGATGCTTGCAGCTGAGAACGGCCACGTGGAGATGGCACAGCTGCTGTTGGAAGCATGTGCTGACAAGGACGCGCTGTCTTCCGTTGGCTATACAGCCCTCATTACCGCAGAACACGTGACCATGGTGAGGTTGCAACGTTCCTGTCCAACGTTGCTGTCGGGCAAAGGCTCGTAGGATCACCCAGGCCAACCGCGGCTCAAAGGACTTGAAGGAATCTTTGCAACCTCAACTACCTATAGTTTAGTACGTTTATGCTCACCATTTAGGCGTTGACTCTCTACTAAAATATCCTGTAGGGTTTAACTCGCTAATCGCAAGACGCTTACCAATAGCCTGTAGGTCATGGTTTTGCAGGTCTGGCTTGGTGGTAGGGTTGGCATGTAAAGGTTTGCTAGCAGCTGTTTCCTAAGTGCTTGATGCTTTAGTGCCCCCTTAAGAGCCTAAGGTTTAGGGTTCACAAGGGTTTTCGGCTTAGGATTGAGGGTGCATGGTCAATCTCCACTAGATACACATAAGAGCGCCGACAATGTCAAACAACCTGTCTTACATACACCTGGACTCATTTAGTATTGCATTTTTTGAGTACCAACTGTTACTATCCCCCCCACTGTTGAGGTTAGTGGCCTCATGCACTTCATGCTGCGGGGCGCATGCGGAGCTACGTGATGGGAGCCATGCTGCTGTCATGGTGATTCAAGACGATTGGCGCTATGCAGCTGAGTCCTACTTTCATCACCACTTGGGAGCAGCACATTGGCATCAGACCAACTTGCTCATGCTTACCTCCGCCTCCCCCGCCACAATGCTTTCCCACCTCTCTGCACCTCAACCAGTCATTTCCCCCAAACATGCGGGAGCCCCTGCCCCTGGACCCAAAGCCCTAAACCCGACCCCTGGACCATTTATTTCCTTTCAGAGGGATAGCGGGGAAGTTGGTGCTGAGTATTATTATGTCATCCTGAATGCGAGCCGCAAAACCGTTTAAATTGAAAAGCATACCGGTGCTTCCAGCCCAAAACCGAATCCGCTAAACCCTAGACCCTGCCTGTCTGTCAGGCAGCCAGATCGGCCCTGGGCTCCTGGCAGGATTGGAGCTTGGGGGTTAGGGTTTAGAGGTCTCTGGCCGTTTTTGTTCAGGAGTTAGGGCTTAGGGCTTAGGGGATACAGGGTTTATGGTTGAGGGTGTACAGGTTTGAGGGGTAGTGATTGAGAGTTTACGGTTCAAGGTTTGAGGCTCTGGAGGTTCGTGGGGCTAACTGGGTGAATGTGTACATGATCAAAACTGTTCTGTGTTTGGGGAGGTCCTGTTGCTCTCGAGGGCAGGGGCGTTCTAGGTTCCTTGTCCACGGTCGTGACATTCTGGTTTAGGGCACTGCAAACGGACCTCAGAATGGTAATGGCGGTATGGGCAACTATTTAGGCCCCTGTATTTTGACCACAGCAGTCAAGCAGGAGTGGCAGCATCTCATCACAGCTCTGGCAACGGCCGTAACGCCACCGCAACGACTGGCACTGCGACTGGCGCTCCTGGGCAGTGAATCTTTCTGGAAGCATGGGGGAGCTTTGCGGCAATGTTTTTAACTAGGAGTATGCCTACAATAGTAAGAGAAGTGTGATGGAGATTAAGAAATGATAGAATCATCAGTAAGAGTCAGCAAAAGGAAGACTTGAGATGCAGCCGCCAGGGGTAGCCGCGGTAGTTCGGGCAGTTGCAAAAAAAGTCTGGATGTGAGTTAGAGGCCGTTTTGCGCGGACATTCAGGAGTTGAAGGTTGGCACATTGCCCCGGGGATCCAAGCTTGACAATCCCTACGTTGGGCTTTTAAGTCTGCAGATTGTACCTGCATTGGGCCAATGAACACTCCAGGTTTCCCAAAATTAGTGGTACCATTTTGGGGTCCCAATAATAAGGACTGTAGTATATATCAGGGTCTACATGGGTGGTCCCCCTGTTTAGGGAAACTACCACATATCCTGATGGTTATAAACCCTTTGAGGAAACAAAATGTACCCCCACAACCCCATGAAGGTGCTCGTACTTTGGGTAGTGGAGCTTCCAAGGCTTCGGTTTCGGCATCAGTGTATCGGGGTAGAGTTTCGCATTATGGGTTTTGACTTTTGGGCTTATGGCAGGTCATTGCACCCGATACGGAGCAAGTGTCTGGAATCGTAGCAGGTGCGTGGTGCAGGTTTTGGTAAGTATAGGATTCTTGAGCACTTGGGCCCTCACCCTCGGAGTTCTACAGAGTTGCGGGGTTCCTGTGTTGGGTGCCTCATCATCATTTGCATTCACATGGGCTAGGCCATTCCCAAAATTGTGGGCCCCTCGTGGTTATGAATTGCATTACGGCACTTAATATTTAGGGTTACCAATGGGTCCCGTTTGTGGATGGCTCATGGAGCAATCGATGCGTCCTGGTCACGAATTCTCTAAGGCTCCAGTGGCTTACCCTAAACCCTATAGACCTTAAAGAATCAGTCTTTGGAAGCTTTTCGCTGCCTAGAGGAACTATCACCACATCCCCAGTAACCAAGATCAGGCATTGTAAGACAATTTAATCGTAAATCCTCGCCTCTATCCGAAATTTCCCGCCAAAAAAGTACCTGGTTCTTCCAAATTCCATAGTAAAGGCCCGTAGACAAATTGGTTGACTATCATGGGTGCGGCAGGTCCAGGTATATAGATTCTGGCCAACCTGTAGATTTTGTTGGGAGATGGGGCACAGTCCCTGAGGTTCCAATCATCCAAGCTTTGGGGCGTTAGGCCAAAAACACTTTTCAGATTTATTTGGCGGGCCCGAAAGCTCAAAACTTGTGTACCTGGAACTTTATCAAATACAGCAACTTATGAAAGTTCTAGGTACCACTGCCACCGTTTCCTAAGGCTGCGCCTAAAGGCCACGAAGACTGACAATGATGAAGCTTTCTCTGAGGCATGATGTGAGTGGGTTCTGTTGGGAGCGGTCTGTAACTTCGTTACATGAATAAAAGGCGCAATACTCCTAAACCCTAAACCTGAAACCCAAAACCCTGAATCCCAAACCCTAAACAAAGTGACAACATAGCAAGGACTAGCGGACGATAGACCTTTGGGTTCCATAGTCCCTCCGTCAGGGTCCAAGTACTCAAAGAGTAGGTCATTTGAGAGCCAACTGGGTCCCTGATAGGTACTTTGGGCGCAAATTTCTTAGAGTTGAGAGATGCATTAATTTCTGTTGATGGTTAGGGTTTAGGCTTTAGGGTTTAGTTTAAGGGTTTAGGGCATACAAAAAGTCCTGCAAGACCTTGATCTACTATGGTAACATAATGCCTGACATATAAGGTACCTAGGGTCATGCGGTGTTGCTGGGTGCGTTCAACTTTTCGGATCTGAGCTCTGAGTATTCGAAAGCCCCAGGATATTCGGAGAGATTCGGAGTGGCCTTGATGATAGGACGTGACCAGGAGCTAGGCCGTAGAGTATCGAGGTCGCTGTCCCTACGGGAGCACTGGTCACACGCTTCTCGGCGTAGGGCTATGGATTCGCTTATTGTATTTGGTGGACAAGCACACATGGGAGAACTAGCTATTTTAGACCTTCTGTCCTAGTGGGTGGCAGATGACCTACTTAAGCCAGAAGATAGACAGGATAGACCACCGTCATTGGGAACGACCAAGCGTTCGAAGTATGCTGCAATTCTCATGCGCTCCCAGGAGCCCAAACAGCGAGTACTCAAAGTATAGAATTGTTGTTTGCTGGACGCTGAAGTTTGGTGTCAATAAGTGTAGTATAGAGTCCCTAGCCCTAAACACATGTCCTCCTCATCCCGTCAGAAGAACTCGCGTGTGTGCCAAAATTGGGGTCCCCATCTACTGCTTGAAAAAGCTGGAGCCCTCAACCCAGCATAGGAATCCCAACTTTGCCACACCCAAAGATAAGATGGTTAGCTACGAATGAAGGACTGGATCCTTATAGTAGCCCCTATATAACCCATTATAGTAGTTTCCATTTAACCAAAGGCCAGTATAGTCCCTATTACTGGGTGGGGGGTCCACCTAAGGTCAGGTAGGAAACTTCAGGACTGGGACCTCTATCTTGGCCCCATCCAAAGCCCAAAACCCGTAAACTCCCCAACAAAAGCCTAAACCCTAATCCGGAACCTGTACTCCAAAGATGGCAGAATCAAAGGCTCAGAGGGGCTTTTTGAGCTTAAAGTCTGCCCTTTCCCACTTTGGAGCCTTTCGAGTCATGAGCCTGGGTTTCTCCTCAAAGCCCCGACTGGACGATGAGATTGAAAGCAGCTCGGGAAGACTTGGGGTTTAGGCTTCAGGGTTTAGGGTCTAAACTCCTTAAAGGGGTTATATAGAGGAGCATTATAGGGCTTACTGAGGGGTATACTAGGAGATTCGATTCTAGCTCATATAGGATTATGGGGGGTTTTCAAGGTTTTAGATTTAGGGGTTAGGGCTTAAGTAGGGTGGATCTCTTTAAGAGTGGAGAACCGAGTGGAGAAGAGAATCGAACATGAAATGGAAATTGGGGTTTAAATTGTTGTTTATAGGATATAATAGTGGTAGGTTTGAGAAGAACTTGAAGGTTTTTATGATCCTTCCTCCCTGTTCCCTATAACGCTACAAAAACAATGTTCTTATAGGGTCCCCAAGCCTACCCTAGGGGAGAGAATCCAAGGCTTGAGACTTTAAATACCTCAGCCCCAAGATTATGTAGAATAATTGCCTTGTTGGCCATGTTCAGGAATTTTTCGGGCTGTAGCTATATTTACTTGCGGGGTCCAGTTCATCGCAGCTATGGCAGAATTTGAGTTTTCCTTGCCAGGAGAAATTAGATTCATTGTTGGTCCGCTTTGCGGGTATTCAGGGTCTATGAAGGCTGCATGTGCGGTCAGGGTAGGATCCAGTGTTCAGGGTTTGAGCTTTAGACATCGTTCGGCTTTGCGTTTTAGGGGTCTAGGGTTGAGGCTTTAAGGTTCTGCTTTGAGTTTTTTGTCGCTTCGGAGTCCTGACTACGAGGTAGCGTCACTTAGGTTGAAGAAAGCCCTGACATTGATAGCCACTCATAAAAATCCACAAGAAAAAGGGAAACAGGAGCTTGCGCAATGAACTCCAGGGAGTGCAGGAACAGTCCCGCATAATAACTCTAATCAGATGGGGTTTTTAATCATCTGAGCACTTGAGGGACCCGGGCACATCTATAGACTACAAGGGGGTCATGCGGATGCCAGCTACTGGCCCTCAGTTAGCTAAGAATGAACGAATGGATCCTTATAGTAGTCCCTATAAAGCCCATTCTAGTAGATTCCATGTTCTTTTCCATTCCTTCATTCCCACCCTAAACCCTAAACCTTATGGTAGTTTCCATGTTCTTTTCCATTTCTTCATTCCCACCCTAAACCCTAAACCTTATGGTAGTGTCCATGTTCTTTTCCATTTCTTCATTCCCAGCTAACCAAAGTCCAGGCTAAGAATTCTACACCGGTACTTGAGTGTTGCGAAGCTGAAGCTCCCATGGGGATCTCCACCTTTAACGGAAAATGCCCTGGGGGTTTGAGGGTTGGAGGGTTTAGGGTTTAGGGCTTCACTCCGTGAAGCCTCAGTAGAGATTAGGTTCCCTCAAGGTACAAGCGCCTCGGAGTGTGCTGTGGAGCCACTCGCCGAGGAGCGACTGCTTCAGATCAAACGTCGGACAGTCCTGAAGGGAAATCTTGCGTTCGACTCCAGTCTTGCAGGTACACGTCATGAGGAGCCAGCCATCTTAAGATACATGAGTTGGGTGTCTTGCAACGACGGCCCGTTTCAAATCTTTGGAGCTCGATTCTTGGTTCCTTTTCTGCGGGATGTGATCCGGTTATTGCGCAGGATACGGGGAGTATAGCAGGAATGGCAACAGTAGTGCATAAGAACAGTGGCAAGAATAGCCAACAAACATGGTATGGATATAGTAATACGGAGTAATACGGGTAATATGTCATAATCATGATTTTGGCAGTTGCCAGGAAATCTTCCGCGAAGGTTTTCCCAAAGCTAGCCATATGGATCCAAGCATACAACGAATACCTACAGGTTCAGGTTTAGGGTTTGGGCCCTAAAGTCTGTAGATATTACCTACATTGGGCTATTGGGATCCTTAGGGTAGTATATGATGGGTCTCTACATGCGGGCGCCTTTAACGCTACGGATGGCTACGTCCGTTGCCCCGATTGGTGCAAAAGCTTGGGGATGCTACATGCATACATACATACCCATTTTACATACCTCTGCACATATATAGACATGTCATATATATATGGTACCCCCCCCCCCCAGTTATCTACCCTTTTGGGGCTGTCATATCATAGGTGGTTTGTATCCTATTCCTCATTGGGGGGGTTACAGCCGCAAGCTTTTAGGGCACGAAGGCCTAGAGGAGTAGGAATCCCATCCCCAACTGAGATGAGTAAGGATCTTGTCCCCGATTGAAACCGATTGAGCCGATTGAAATTTCAATCGGCTTCAGGCCTCTGCAGCAGCAAATCCCCAAATGCATATATATATATATACACGAATGTACACCTTATTGAGTACCCTATAGCCTATGTAATACCTTTCAGAATACCTTCTATACTACCGCTTGTATATACATTACAGAATACTCTATAGAATGCCGTGTATAATGTCCTATAGAATTCCCTATAGAACACCTCGTAGAAAATATAATACCCCCTCTATACCCTATACATACCTTATAGAATACCATCTGAGATACCCTATGGAATATCTTTTCAGAATACCCGGTATATATGATACCCTCTTCATCCCCTGTAGATTACTCATCGAATACCCTACATGATGCCCTTCAGATCAGGGTCTATATACAGAAAAACAGGAGGAGCCGAAGATCTGCGAATTCACCATTAAATTCTAGCTTGTTGAAGAATGGTTCTCAAACGAAGGAGATCAGAAACCTAGGAGAATAGCCTATAGAATACCTTACAGAATACCCGCTCTATGTACCTTGAATATCAAAAATCATAGCCGAGGTATTACCTTATATATATACAGAGTACCCTATAGGGTATTCCAGAAGGTATTATGTAAGGTATATATAAGGTATATAAGACGTATGGGTGGTATTATTATATAAGGTATCCTATAAGGTGTTCTATGGGGCATTCTATTGAACATTCTACAGGGGATTCTATAGGGTATTCTAGAAGGTATATATAGGTGGTATTCTAGAAGGGATTCCATAAGGTATGGGCAATGGGGTATTTCATTGTGTACACAATAAGCTAGGTATGAGGTATATAGGTGGTATTCTATAAGGTTTTACCAATATTTTTCTATGTTAAATTCTTTAAGGTATATAGTCTTCATATTCCTCTATACTTTTTAAAAGTATTCTGCAGGCTGGTCTCCTAACTTCCTGATTCCCTGAACTGAAATCTCTTACTTAGTAAGCTACAGTTCAATGGGTGAATTCTCGGATCGTGGGCCCTTCCTGATTTTCCGTACAAGAATCCTTGTCTACAGGGTACTCCATAGGGCATT